TTTTTAGAGAAGTCCTAACAATACATTTTTTAATATACTCTTCTTAACTCATTTTCATTAATTAAAATTTATTAAAAATTATAAAATTAAAAAAGTGAGTCATTAAATAAAGTATGTGATCAGTTAATTTTCATGTTTTCTTTTATAAAATTTTTCTCTATATATATATATATATAAACTAATTTCATATAAATTAATAAAGTTTATTAAACGCATTTATTATTCACAATTTTACATAAAATATATACTATATTTTTAAAAATATTTTTAATTACATTTATGATATATAATGCTCTCATTTATTATGATAAAGGTATTTTTGTATTAAAAAAATTAAATAAAAATAATTTGATTAAAATTTATTTATATTTCGATAAAAAAAATTTAAGTATTTTTTACTTATATACAGGACTAAAGAGAGTGTCAATCAAATAAAATATATTTAAAAGAATATGACAAATAGTATGTTATTAACATTTCTTATTTTTAAAAATATTTCTTAAACTTTTGGACAAAAGCTGTCTTCTCTTCCTAAATTTTAGACTACCAAAAGAATACTACATTATAAAACTACTAAAGGAATACATTACAAAATTGATTTTTTAAAAGAAGCATGATTTTTTATTAATAAATTTTAAAAAAGTCTCTTGTTGAGAAGAAAAAAAAATAGATTTTTATTTTATTTTTATAAGAGGTCAAGTCCGTGAGTTGTCAACCAGGCACATACAAGTGCCAACAATTTGTCTTTTATAGGTCAAGAAGCAGGTGAACCGTGAATAGGGATCGGAATGGGGTGGGTCGAGTACGGATTTCATGATACTCGTCTCCGTTCTTGCGAGTTAAACTCATCCTTATATTCGTACCCGTCGGGTATATGATTTTCATCCTCATTCACGTCCCTGTCGGCTATTGGGTATATATGTACCCATACTTGCACCCGTCAATTTTTTTATTTTTTATTTTTGTAAAAAAAATATAATATTTTTAAATTATTTTTTTATTATATTATAATTATAATAAGATTATTTTTTTATCTCATATTATAATAAATAATCACACATAAAAAATATTAAAATTCTTTAATATAATTAAATTAAAAGTAGATATTAAATTAAAAATAGAAACGGGAACGGGTAGGGGTACAGGTACGGAACGGGTAAGTACATACCCGTACCCGATTTAATATATCGGATTTTACCCGTACTGTATCTGTACCCGGTCAAAGCAGGTATTCCCTGTCAAAGACGAAACGAGAGTAGGTATTACCCGCGAGTACGAATATATTTGTCATCCTTAATCGTGAATACCAATCAATTTGCATCAAGATGTTAAACAATAAACTTGGATAAATTTTGAATTAATTATTAGATTAGAAATAAGTTAGCCAATATTTATATATCTATAAAATGGACAATGGATCAGTTGGATGATTTATTTTTTTAACACACATTTAACATTCATATATAAATAGATTTTTTTATCAATTTAAATAATATTATATTTTATATTTAAAAAAATTTCTATAAAATATAGTTCAATTAATAGATCCATTCGTTAAAGATTTATGCTCAACTAAAAGTTTCGATTGTTAATTAATTTGATCAAATATAAGGATTACAAGTTATATTGCTTAATTAAATTATCCATCCAATAACAAATATTAGAGCCCAATCTAATCAATTCGATATTCTTTTTTCATTTTATACATAATTAGCTGGGTTATAATAGGTAAATGGATTGAATTGTCACTTGTTAATTACGTATATATAGAAACGGTAATGATATCTAGGTTTTGCTGAGAGTAGTAACGGCCAAAATAATTATCAAGGAATAATATATATATATATAGGAGAGGGAGAGAAGATGGATTATTTTACACCAGGAATAAGTCTAGATAAATTTATTCTGTTCAATAACTCATGTTCTACATCAAATTTCAACAATCCAACCGTTCAATTTAAAGTTCTTAATGCATAGATCAAATCTGCAAATTTTTATAAAATTTGAAAATCATTTAATACTTCATTTCATTAATTCGAATCAATATATAAAATAATTTTTATGATTATCCGTTAATT